ACAATGTTATGTAAGACAATATAAGTGTGTTAACCTAATTTAACAGCTTTAAATTAAGCAGGAGAGAGAGAATACAGTCATACCTCAGGTTAAAGTCACTTCAGGTTTAACATTTTCAGGTTGCATCCCGCGGCATCCCGGAAGTAACGGAACAGGTTACTTCCAGGTTTCACTGCTTGCACATGCACAGATGCTCAGAATGGCGACACGTGCATGCACAGACATGGTGAATCGCGACGCGCAGACGCGGGTTGCGTTCTGCTCATGATGCGAATGGGGCTCCGGAACGGATCCCATTTGCATCCAGAGGTACCACTGTAGTAGAAATTCACCACAATAGCTTGTGTGAATTGGATGGTAGCCACACCTCTTAATTGTGGCAGCCTTCTGTCACCTGAGTTTCTTCCTACGGAGGTGTTATGCCTCCCCACCCCCACGCTTTCCATTGATGACTTGCCTCCCCTTATCCATGGGCCAAAGCAGTGCTGCATAGGCACTGAATTCAGGTTCTCTGGAGGACACAAGAAGTACCGTATTTTTTGCACCATAACACTCACTTTTTTCCTCCTAGAAAGTAAGGGGAAATGTCTGTGCGTCTTATGGAGTGAATGCCTGCGGGTGGCGGAGGGGATCTGCTGCAGTCATGAGCAGAGGATCCATGGTTCCCCTTCCTTCCCTCCTCCGTGGCTCGCTTTGAAACAGCAAAGCAGGAGAAGAGCCGCGGAGTGGGGAGGGGAGAGGGACAGAGAGCCTGCTTCTTTAAAGGAGCAAAGCGGGAGGGGAGAGGAGCCTTCTTCCCTTATACCCCTCTTCTTCATTATTAGTAGCATCCTTCTCCACCCACCCCACGCGTGCTTCTTCTCCCCTTAAACTCCTCTCCTGCATTATTAGCAGCAGCATCCTCCACACACCCTTGAGTGCTTTTCCTTCCTTCCCCACTTAAAATGTGGTTACAAAGCACGGATCCACATGGATCCTCAGGATTTTTGCACTGGGTCACCCCAAATTCACCATCAGATCACATAGCATGTCCATGGCTACATCTTGCACCAAAAGAATCACGCACCCACTGTTGCCTGGGGCCTCAGTGGTGCAAAAACGTGGTTACAAAGCATGGATCCACATGGATCCTCAGGATTTTTGCACTGGGCTACTCCAAACTCACTGTCAGATCACATGTCTGTGGCCACAGCATGAACCACAAAAATCATATATCCACTGTTTCGTTTAGAATATTTTTTTTTCTTGTTTTCCTCCTCTAAAAACTATGTGCGTGTTATGGTCTGGTGCGTGTTATAGAGCGAAAAATACGGTATATGCTCTAGAGACAATTCAGCAGCTACATTTGCTGAGCCCCACAGCAGCAGGCATGTAGACTAACCGTGGAAGGACAGAGTACTGTCCCAGCCTGCACACAGCCACAACACTGAGGAAAACACAAGTACAGTTCACATGGGGTCTCATGGGCAGATGACTTGATCTCCTGTGGAAAACTGAGAGCAGGAAACTGACAAGCGCTCCATTCTGGAGGAGAAATCCATGCACTCATAGTTTGTGCAGATGATTAAGTCAACATTCAGTCACCACCTGACTCAATCCTACTCTCATCATTTTATACACATTCCTCTACTCACATCAGCAAAGAGACTAAAATATTGTTATGGGACATGAAATGAAACTATATTATAAAATTAATACATTAAAAAGTAAAAAGAAAATGAATAATTAAACAATGATTAATTCAACTTTGCCCTTTTAAAAATTGTAGCAATAATCTGCCAATAATTACCACATGATGGCACTCATCAGTGTGTTGAAAGAAAAAATAAATAAATTGCTTTGTATTAACTCAACTGGAAGACAAGTGCTGTGGAGGAAAATAGCCTTTATAAGCATCACAGTATCAAAGTGCCTACCGCTGGAACTTATTTTAAATAGATTACAGTTAGTACATCATACTAAAACCATGTTCATACACAGTGGTGTTGATAGCTTGCTGAGACTCATCCATCAGTATTAGATTTACTTCGTTTCCTCAGAAAGTGAATAATGCATATACTGACCAGTGACACCACCTTTTTAATTGTAAATCAAGGTTACAGGCTCAGTACAGTGGTGCCCCGCAAGACGAATGCCTCGCAAGACGGAAAACCCGCTAGATGAAAGGGTTTTCCGTTTTTGAGTTGCTTCGCAGGACGAATTTCCCTATGGGCTTGCTTCGCAAGACGAAAATGTCTTGCAAGTCTTGAGATTTTTTTTCACTTTTCGCCCCCTTTATCTAATCTGCTAAGCCTTTAATAGCCTTTAATAGCCTTTTAGCAGCTAATCCGCTAAGCCTTTAAGCCTTTAATAGCCGCTAAACCGCTAATAGCGCTAATCCGTTAAGCCGCTAATAGGGTTGCTTCGCAAGACGAAAAAACCGCTAGACGAAGACTCTCGCGGAACGGATTAATTTCGTCTTGCGAGGCACCACTGTAAAAGGAAACCATAGGTCAAAATTAACTTCATTTACATCTGTATGACTTTTAAATACTGCTTGTAAACCCATGTGTTTTAAAAATTAAACCAACGGCTATCTTCTATTTCTAGCGCTTAGTCTCTCATTTTGTTTCTGTAGTACTTTAACTTGATTTAATTCTAATTAGTTTCTACTTGAATCATAACTTCATAAGATTAATATTTTTGCTGGTATAAACCTATTTTTACAATTACATCGAGTGAAATCAGAATAAAATCCAGCTATGTAGTGACAAGTCAGTTTGATTGCAGGGGGGAAATGTTTTCTTGCTGCTTTACTTGTGAGGACTTTAAAAATAACTCTTTGGGTACACGGTACTAGAGCTCACTGTAGGTTAAACACAAGATCAAAAAGTGTCTTTCTAAGACCTTTTCCAGATAATATACGTTTAATGATTTACAGTGGTCCTCGCTTATTGCATATGACCCAGATGTATTGCTTGCTTTTGTTGCCTAGCTACTGCATTTTCTCAGCACTCAAATAGCAATATTCTGCCAACAGAAAATGTGAACATTTGCCAACCTGCCTAACATGTCCCATTAGTTTGTGAACTGGCATTGTGAAGGCTAGGAAGGATGCTGTACAGGAAGAAGCAAATATTCATGTCTGGCGGGAGCAGGTAGAAATTCCGGTCCTTAAGTCATGTGCACTTGATGATTAGTGTTCTACAAGTCAAACAGGCACCCAAGTCTGTTCTAATTTGTGCACTTTAAAATATATTATTATAATGTGAAAATTTTATCCTGCATGGTTTAAACAGGCGCAAAATACTTAATTGGTGAATGGTATTTTCACTTTCCTTTCAGGATCGTTCTTGGGGGAGAAAATCCACCCCTTCTTCCATTTGGAGTTGGGAGTCAATCTCAAGTATTGATGTGTGTGTGCATGTGTGCGCGCAGGGGAAGGCCCATCAAACCCACCAATCTAAGAGTAGATGGCATTCTTTAACTTTATCTGTGGTTGCGTAACAGCCAAAGGGGCTAGATAGCCCCAAATGGCTTTCAGGAAGGACTTCAAATTCCCAGCTGCAAGTTTTAAGACCCCTTATCGGCAAAAAATAAATTAAAAATAAAGGATTAGAGGATTACAATCCCCATTGCCCTGCTGAAATGCTCTACATCTCAATTTTTTAGCAAGAATTCAAAAACTTGCTAAATTTTAATTGGGGGGGAAATACTCTTAAAGGAATCTTAGAACGAATAACAGGTCAAATAACACAACACAAAGGAGGAAGTTCTGCCTGGCCTCTGTGCCAATCTGCTAATCATAGTTTAAACCAATGAAAGCTTCTTGATTCCCTTGTGACACAACAGCTGTAACCTAAAATTCATTGTTTCACTTGCTCACTGTAGCAGCACTTTATTCTGGAAACTAGCCTGCATTTATGCCCTTGCCAAATCTCTCAGAACTCCTCTGAGCACGTGGACTTGGAATTTCATAGTGCTTCCGAGTATAACAAACACAAAACTATCTACTTATTGTTATGGCCTCTCCCAATAATGAATTATGGTAGCTTGTCATCCTGCCAATTTTTGGATTGTACCGAAAATATCAAATTGTACTTTTCCATGAGCAGTACTGAAAGAACAGCACTATTTTCAGCCTGGAGTAAAAAGCCTTATGTCTAGAAAGCTGTAAACATTTGTGCTTTACTGACAACGTTGTTGGTTTGCTGCTGCTATTATTATTATTATTATTATTATTATTATTATTATTAAATTCAAGTTTTCCAATGTACCAGATTTGTGCAAAAGTGCAATAAAAATAATGTTCAAATATGCGTGTATCACCCCAAGCCAGAAAGCCTGAGCTCCACTGTGGGCATTTATGCAGGTATTTCCTTACCTGTGTGTGTATCTTTATTTCATTTTATTCTTTTGAAATGCAAATTTTCCAGTATGCTAGATTTTCACAAAAGAACAGTGAAAATATGTGTGTGTGTGTGTGTGTGTGTGTGTGTGTGTGTGTGTTGCTCAAAGCCAGGCAAGGATATGGTTGCACCCACAAAAGGCTTTCTTTTCATCCTGTTTCTTGCCACTTGTGACTTTAAGGGGAAATCTTATTTTTATTTAAATTACAACTCTTTTGTGCAAGAGTTCTGCACAAAACAAAGAAATAAAGGGGAAAATACTGCAAATCTGCCTTTAACAACATGGAAAAGAACAGGCTGCATCCTTTTCTTGGGCTTATATATAGTAACAATATGGGAGTAGGGAGTGTGGCAAGAAATAGCATCCAGCAAAATGTCACCACACATATAAGAAAGCCCACCCTCACAACATGCTTCAGTGCATTCACAGTCTGGTAATGTACAATTTTATATTGGATTCCCCCCCTTTTTGGATTATCTGTGGATTTGTAAAATCTGAATTTAGTGGGGGATGAGGAGGAAGTTGTATAGATTGATAGAACTGTAGAGTTGGAAGGGACCCCAAGGGCCATTTAGTTCAACCCCATGCAGTGCAGGAATTATGCTCACAACCATTCCTGAGTGGCCTCAAACCACCAACCTTCTTCTTAACAGCCAGATGCACTGACCCATTGTGCCACAGAGAGCATGCCTCAAAAAATAATAAAATAGAGACACAAGCTGCTTCAAATCCACATTAGACTCCAGTGTAGATGATTCCTAAACTAAATCCAGACTTTTTTCATTGAAATCAATAGGGCACAGCCAGGCAATATTTACTCTTCATACTTACTTCAATGCCGTGTGTGTGTGTGTGTGTGTGTGTGTGTGTTTATGTTTATATCAACTCCCCTGCATCTTCAACCCCTGGCAACATATCCCACAACATTTCCAACTTCCTCCAACCTCTAGGTGAGGACATGGGAGGGGGGTACATAGGAAGCTGTCTTGTACTCAGACCATTGGTCCATCTAGCTCAGTATTGTCTACATTGACTTGCAGAAGCTCTCCAGGGTTTCAGGTAAGGAACATTCCAAGGCCTACCTGGAGATGCCAGGAATAGAACTTAGGACCTTCTCTACTACTGAGCTACACAGCTTAGAAGAAAAACCATGTTCCGTAAATATGAATTATTTTCTGTTCACTCAAGCAAAGTTGGGATTCAAGGCAGTAGGACCAGGTGCAACTACCCCATGTTTTGTAAGTCATGAAATATATTTAAGCTGTACTTCATCAATCATTATTTAAATGCTTGTTTCCATCCCTTTATTTATTGAAAGTCATCTATCCATTGAAAAGTACAGGGCAAAACAAAATAGAAAACCTTCTAATGTACTGGGTATACTGTTTTGTGACCTCTCAAATCACTAGCTAAAATAATTCTTTTCTCTCTTGTGTGTGAAATACCATTCGACTGTAATGTTGGTAGTACTGAGATGCAACCACTTGCATCTCATCTTTCACAATCATAGATCTTAATCTAAATTGGGATTTGGTGGCATGCCATGTACAAGGTTCAAGCTAGATGATCTGATGAGCCCTTCTGACCTAATATTTAGTGACTATGAAAGAAAAATGACTTGTTTTTACAGTGGGTTACCAAAGGACACCTTACCCATAATAACACTACCTTATACACTACATACACACACACACACACGGGCTCTAGAACAAATTTTTGGAGAGTAGTTAAGTTTTGTGGGAACTTTCAATTCACACGATTGTGAATGGTTTTTTTTTTTAATAAAAAAACCCCTATTATATGCTCTACTATACTCTCAATAAGACTAAAGACCTAATATACTACATTAGATAGGCTAATTTCTGCATGATAATGGTTGTGAGTGGTACAACCATGTTCCGAACTACTTCAAATTGTACTTTAAAATCTGATCACATGGCAACACCTTCAGAAAAAGACAAGTTAATTTTGGGCGAATAAGTGTGAGAAATCACTATGTGGTGGTATTTTCTTTGTCAAGCAATGAGTATTGAAATTCACCACCAATTTCAGCCAATGATCTTTACAACTAATAATAACAAAATTACAACTAATAATGTGTGGGATAAAGAAAATATGTGTGAAAATAGAAGCAATGTAAAAACCTATTTTGTAATATTCTTATAGACACTATCTAGGACTTATAAGCTAGTTCTGACAACTTACAATTCAGTGAAAATTGAAAACAAACATGTTCCATCTACCCAAGCAAGAATCCCCAGTTAATAATACTTCAGGCCAACCTTTTAACTGTGATTGGTCTTAGGCTGTGACTCAGTGCCGTAAAATATGAGCTAAGCTTGCTGTGTACTCTTTGTGAATTTACCTTCTGTAATTTTGTAAAAACAAAACCTACTTTGAGCTAGTACAATCCTAGACTCGGTCCAAGTGTGTACTGGTCTAAATCAAACAGCTCGAGCACAAATTAGGCACAAAGTCTGAACAGGCAAGTAGGCATCTGCACATAGTAACCAATACAATCCTGCTTTTTATTTTCAGAAAATGCAAGGTAAAGCTCCTTATGACTATTCTTACATGTCTGGCTAGTTACTTATGCAAGAGAGACTCCAAGGTTCCACTGTCCTCAGTGCCATTACAAGCAATCTTTGCAAAAGAGTTAAACTGCTTCTGAACAGCATTTGCCATATTCTTGAGATAAACAGGCCTTTCTTCAGCAAGGGGCCTGCATGTCTTCACATTCCAGTTTTTTTTATTCTTGTATAAATATATCATTTTGTGACCAGGGTAACAAAGCCGGGGGGAGGGGCGGAATCTCTTCCGCTCTCCCTTCTGTTTGATTTCCCTTTTATCCCCCTATAGTGTTCCAGGGAATTGATGTGGTGCAGGATTCTGTTCCAAACACATGTTTTTCCCTGTATTTGGATACCCATAAAACTATACAGTCAAAGGGCAACTTTATACTTTTCCCCTTTCGCTACATCTGCACTCCATTGAGCATTGAAAATGAATTTCCTCATCTTGCTATATGACACCCAAGGCCAAGTTAATCCCTGCTGTAAGTTCCTGGAGTTGCACCAGAAGATTGGTGGGTTTTTTAATGTTTGCAGTCTGAACCCTAGGAAACAGGCAGCAAACCAGTCGATGATGAATAAGGTTATGATGTTTTTATAGTTAATACCAGGGATGCTCTTTCTAAAAAGGAGGAAGACGGACTGATGAGGCTAGAAGTAGGCTGAGCAAAGAAGGGCGATTCAGTTATACTTCAGGACTGAGCACTATGGACATAACAGAAGGGATCATACTGGTGTGACCATCTGTTCCTGAGCCCCCTAATAGTATAGTAATATCCTGGATAAGGCGCCCTCAAATATATTTTAGAGGCTGTCATAATTAGAACCAAAAAGAGATCTCAGGGCAGTTGGGTAGCTGGAAGAGGCACATCAGAGAGCTGAGTTCTGTTTCTCACCGTATACTTATTTATTTGTATTTATTTTTCTATACTGCTTAATAATATTTTTTTTGAACAGTTTACATAAAAGCAATTTGCAAGGGAAAACAGCATTCAATAAAAGTAAATAAATCCCTCCCCACATACAATCACTGGGAAGAAAGGCCACCAATGCGCTCATTCTCTGTTCTGAGTAGAAGGAAGCGTAGGTGTTTGTTGCCAACAACCAGTGAAATGTTGTCATGACTAAAGAGAGGTGTCAGTGTAGAAGCACCTGAGCAACTGCAAACAATAACTGAACAAGTCTTGCTTACTGGGCTCTGGGAAGGTCACACAAGGCCTCTGGAAGGCCCTGTGAAGCACTCTTGAGATCTCGTGAGCTCTCCAAGAGATTTCACAAGATCTCTTGCCCTGCAAGTTTTTGCAGGAGCCTCACAGGGCCTTCCAGAGACCTTCCAAAGTCCAGATTCATGTCCCATCTCAGATATGAAGTCCACTGTGTGACACTTAGCCTGTGACCTTCTTTTGGCCTCTGCTATCTCACAATCCTTTGAGGCTACAATGAAGGGACCAAGTCTGCTAGCTTGAAATAAATCCATATAAAATACAACTAACTTTTTTGAATGTCAGAACCATGGGCGTAGCGAGGGGGCAACATCTGCCCCCCTTAAATCAAACAAACAAACAAACAAATAAATAAATACTTAACTAAAAGTAGAAGTAATAAGAATATTTGAAATGAAAACGCTCCCTGAGGTCACTTGGATGATGTTGTGGCTCATTCTAGCGATGCAACTGGCAACCCAACTGAACACTTGGGGCCAAAAGAAAGTAATTTAAAACAACTGTTGTTGAGACATTTTATTCTGAAATGCTAGACAGAGCCAGACAGAGGATGGTGGCAGGTGGGTGACCTGCCCCCCCCAACATAAATTCTGGCGACGCTCGAGTCAGAACCAAGTATACAGAGTGGTATGTAACCAGTGTGAAACAATTTGTATTTGAAATCTAATCAATTTGCTTCACGTTTACGACAATTTCATTCAGTCTCATTTTGGCCTTTTAATTTTTAAGATTATGGTTATAAACAGTATACTGCAAAGATGGACAAAATAGTTTATTACTATTCCCATGTCATTTGTACAGAAATTCTGTGCCATGAAACATGCATGAACCCAATGCCTAGCTCAGCCAGTATGTACAAATTTTAATTTACTGTATTAATCATGTCTCCCGGTGCCACAAGGAATAAATTCATACAAAATAAGTGCATTAAAAAGGCAAATAAAAAAAGAGGAATATAATTTCATAGTTCACTAGGAATAAAAATCAATATACAGAAAAGGAAGAGGTGCATAATCTAAAAGGAACAGCATCAGCACAAATAAAGAAAGATGATTCATGAATGGAAAACCTTACAGCAGTTTTAGTTGCAGACTCAGCACATATTTGGCACATACTCAACACTTCATTCAATCTTACAGCAGCACAAATATTACCAAAATGCAGCATGCCTTTATGGCACTTAAAGTATCTCCAATAGCAGATAAAGTGGCCATTAAGAAGGTGCAAATGTACATATTTGCGGTGTAGCCTCAGTCCATTGGTATGGAGTGATGTTCTGCAATGGTCTAATTCTTGCTTACAAGTGCTTGGGATATGGCACATCAAAAGCTGCCTCATAATATTATTCACAACATTGTCTTTTGCAGGTAGGTAAGTGCAAATTTCTTCATTTCAAATACTTATATCCCACTTCACAGCTCACAATTTTTTTTACAATAAATAATATAAATATCCAAGGCTGGTATTAGGAACAGAAATGTCCTTATGGTGGCAGGATTATTTAGGTAGCATTTCCTGTCCTTAAGCGTGATCTACCTTGGTGTTGTTATCTAAGGCAAGGGGTTTCTGAGCAGCCTATAATGAAAGCAAGGTTTCCCTTATTGGTCACTGGTGTTTCTAGGCAACAGCTCCCACTGATATATTCTGAAATGGTTGAGGCTGATATTCCAAGTCACATTAATGTGCACATCAGAAGGAACCATTGCTAGGGGTATGTTTGTGTGTTGCTTGTTTGTTTTTTGTTTTGGAAAAACACGAACATGGGGAGGGGATATGACAGGTGCATGATATGAAAAAAAAGTGAATTCAGAGATACCCACTGGAGGTTTAGGGTCCTCTAGTGAATCTGAATTCAGAATTCAGAAAAGACAAAGGAAAGTACGTACTTCTTCA